GCCGAAACGTCGGATTTATCTATCGTTAGTTTTTGCCTGTATATAAATAATAATAATAATAATAATAATAATAATAATAATAATAATAATAATAATAAAAAACATTCAATCTTGAACTCTAATCTTACCCAATCTAGCCTCAAGTATGTATATTGGCTCTAGATCTCTGTGTCTCCTTTTTCCTGATTTAATTAATTAAAAGTCATATGGTTTTATGCTAATTTAACATTTTCATCAGCAATTTGTATGCTTTCATGAAAGGTCAGCACATGCATCATGTTTATCAGTACCATACACGTAATTGCGTCTTGTATAATTAATCGTAGATTACAATTCATGTAGTGTATTTCATGTGATCTGAAGAATTCATGCAAGTCTCCTGAGTTGTCTTGCACGCAAGTTTGTCAAAGTTTAAACAACAGGTCTGGAGTATTTAAATTTGGCATCTTTATTGTTTAGATCTTATTAACCGAGCAGGAGGTCTGTATGGGAGAATCTTGACTGAGGTCCTGAGTACAGAACGAACGCAGTGAGGTCTGTACACACGAGCGAGGTCAAGATTCTCCTATACAGACCGACGTAGCTCGGTTAATAAGATGTTAATTATATGGCAAAGAAGAAAACTTTAATTTGTTTAATGTAACTGGTTTGCTGACATTTTGCTTGCAAATGTTGATGAGCTTAACCCAAACCTGCCAAAATTTGCTCGTCCTCTTTACTTTTTTTTTGTCGTCAGGCTTTTTGGCACTTTCATAAACGATTGAGAAGAAGATAAAAGAAAACAGTGAACATTTTTGTATTTGAGTTTGCTACTTTTTCAACACAAAATGAAACCAGTCGAGATGACGGTCTAGATGGGAAAATCTAGACTGCTGTCAATATTGATTTCAGCCAATCAAATTCGTGAATTCATTAGTTCCCAGTCCTTGTGAGACACAGCCATATAATAATACTTGGTATAGTCACAAATAAACAAATGACACTGAAAGATCTCCTTTCATTGCTGAAGTGATGTCATCCACTATTGCAATAGGCCTATTAGAAAAAACTTGAATAAAAGAGTAGGGTTAGGGTTAAAACTAAAAAAGAAACACTAAAAAACTGTTTGCATTCTATCTAGGGACGTTCCATTTAGTGGCCTTTGTTTGTCTATACTAGATGTGCTGGTTAAAAAAAAAAAGTATACACAAATTGGATGTCAAGTTATCTTCAGTTGACAAACATGTATATCTAGTGTTGTGCAATCCCAAGCTTCCTCTTTTTAGAAAACAGTCAGTCAAGATCTGATCTTGATCTTGATCTTGCCTTTAGTTCAGGTCATGAAGGTTACGCAGTCATGACTGAAAGTGATATAATTATATAGTCTTATTCTAGATATGGTTTAGAATCACTCTGTTATTAAATGCAGTGTCTTTAAGTGACTTTAAGGCTATGATGGAACTAATTTGACATATATAAACAACAAAAACATGTTGGGAATGTTTTATTTTGAAACATTTTTCCCCAAGAGAGATTTTTGTAATCACTCAATACTTTTTTTTAACCCTATAATTTTCGAAAATGTTCTGAAATTGAATATGACAAATTGCTGACACACTGTTTAAGGCAGATAGCACTTAATTTAACAAATTAAATTAGCAAAAAACAAAAGTCACTTTGACCTTTAGCTTTCAAAAGGTGATTTAGATATTCCCATTAGGAGGCCTGGATAATTGGACAATTATTTCTTTAACAAAAATTCTTGGTATAGTTTGATAACCAGCTCTATGAGCTTTAATTTGATATAGGGGTTCAGGTATTACTTCGCTTGGATGTGAGACATCTCTAAAGGTATATAATAACCTTAAACAATGCACTAATTGTCCTTCCTACCATTTTTTTCTGAAACAATTCACAATACAGCCACCTTTATACGAATTTGCATTTTACTTAGCAGTGGCATGAATTCTTGCATGTATTTTATAACATTAGTCTTGAATGGTTATTTCAATGCCTTTATGCTGTACATCCAGCAATAGTTCAGTTCCTTTTCATAGTATATGCTAGTAAGTACTACCTTTCACAAAATTACTGGAACTCTACATAGCCTTAGGACACTTCCCAAAAGTGACTGTAAAGACATACAGTTGAATGCATGACAGCTTTATAGTATTAAGAAGAGCACACAGGAATATAATGAGATACACTCCCTTCTGCAAAATTGCAACATTTATGATGACAAAATCACTCTGGTAATAATAATACTTTACCATTAGAAAAGTGATGGCCGGGGAC